CTAACTTCTCTTTTTCCCGCAAATTATCCCAACATTCTGGCACCTTCATGATCCAGCCGTACCTTCGTATTAGTAGAGCTCATCAAATCACCTTATTGTTCTTCTTTCTTTTGTCAGGCTATGTTAGTAGAACTACATAGCATTTTCTTTCTGTATTCAAGGCAGTATTCGGTACTTTTAAGGCTTAAACAAACAAATAGGTAAATGAAGCCTGTTCTAAATCAATTTTGTGCTCAGAACAAACCCCATTCCCTCTAATGATAACTCAGTCTAACCTTGCTAATTTGATACCTTCTGATTTTATAGTGGCTCATTCTTCTCCTCCTACTTTATAGTTTGTTTGTGAAGCTTTTTGTGATGTAATACAAATTTTGTCAACAGGACCCTGAAATGGAAAATTATTTCAATGCAGCTAGGTTTTATTGTTTTAGCAGAGTGCTAATTAGTCTAAATATGCTGAATCCAAGGGAAACAATATTTTAACAAGGGTGGAAGTATAAATGATGAAGAAGTAACCCATAGTCACACTACACAGCACATCTAAACTCTAGAGCCTCCAACACATTAACTGGACTACATTTTTCTGCTTTAGAATTTTTGTCCTCTCTGATTGTCTATTAGTAAAACTTCAGCATTTAAACAAAGTTTGCTTTGTGTAAAAACATTTCTTTCTTTCTTTTTGTTTTTTGTGTTTTGGTTTTATTTGCTGTTGTTGTTAAAGAGAGAACATTAGAAATTATGCCCATCCTATTGAAAAATAGAACTCTGGAAGATTATTATACTCTTCAGTATTCAGCAACAAAGACAATGGGTAATAAAGGTACAGACAGTAAATTAATTGAGCTAAAAAAAAACACAGTTTGAGAATTATTGTTTGCATATGTATGATTCTCGACCTCTTTGACCATGTACCAAAAGCAAACTAGAGTTTCTCATTTTACTAGCCTTGTAGCTCTTCAAATGAAAAGATAACATTTGTCATTTCAGATTATAGATACTACATGATACCACATTATTTAGTTCCGTTACTCATTCATCACATTTTCTTGAACACCTATTATGTGCAGGGAACTTTACTGGATATGTTCACTTGTATTGTGGTTAAAACAAGCAAACAAAACCTCTGGAGACCCTGTCCTCATGGCACTTACTTGTAGGAAACTCCATATACATTCATTTAATTTTTTAAAAAATTTAAAATTGATAAATTTGAGGGACCATCCATTTTTAAACAAAGTTAGAATCTTAAGTGTTTTCCTAGCACTGCAAGTCAATTCTTTATGAATGTGGCCAACCTACAGTATCAGAAACTAGAATGCCAAACAAAATTAATGAAATGGACAATACAACTCTTATCTATATTTTTGTTTTCCCTTAGTGTGGGTTGGCCTGTTTGTGTCGTAAACCAAACTATTACTACCATTTCACTGCCGTTCACTTTTGTCCTCATAGTTATCCAATTGAATCTCCTGTATTTCCATCTTTTTTTTCTTATAATGTTGAGATTCAACATCACCTTGTAGGTTATGACTACATTTAAGATGCCAAATCAGAAGAATATTTAATGTTGACTTATTGCAAAATTATGGGAAAGATTTTTAAAAAGAGTTCAGCTGCTAGAGATTTCTGTTCACTTACAGGTAGCTTCCACGTGCAGGTGAAGAGAAAAACATTGTAAAAACCTTTTCAGCAGTTGCTGAAGGCTTGGAAACTTGAAGGAAAAAAAGCAAGCCGACTGGACTCACGCAGTGTTAGGCACAGACCGAGCTGTGATGCACAAACCACCCAGAATGCCCACATCACTGAGGAGGGTCCATCAGAAACAGGGTACAAGTTTTGCTGTCAAAAGGCTGCTCTCCTTTAAAATATCGTTCATCTCCATCGTAGGGATAAACTATTTTCTCCATCAAGGAGCAAGGGGCAGTTGTAATTTTTTTTTTATTTCAGTATTTTTCTCATATAAGACAAATTTTAGAAGAACTGAATGGATTTTTTTTCTTCAGGCCTTCTACTCCCTTCCCCGCCCCCCACATCAAATGCTAAAAGCGTGGCACCCTGGGAAAAAATGAAAGAATATTAGCACCTTTATTACCAACTTCAGTCATACTAAAAGCAATCATGATGTAGAATACTTCCCATTCAATGTCTGCAATTTGATCATAGGTCTGATTTATTACCACCACTGACCTTGAAGAGACTCATAACAATCTTATTAGGAAAACAGCTAATAATTCCTAGTTGCTCTTGGTGATCAGAACTTTTTGCCTAAGAGAAAATTGAAATTATGGAGCTCCTCCCCCCACCCCAACCTTTTTTGTAACCTTAGAATCATTGAAAGACTGAACTTCAAGTAGAGGTATAATGTTTATTTAAGACCCTTTGGCAGTTTAGGCGGAATCTGGGATGGGGCAGGAACCCTACTTTAAAAAGATGCTTTAAAAAGGTCCTTTCAAGTTGCTATTTCCCCAAGTAAAATACTTTAAAAATATCTACCTTCCGTTTTCTCAGAAAAGCTAATCTGCAGTAAATTTGAAATTAAAGAATTTTCTTTCTTTCCACATAATCCATCATTTTATCATCTGAAAACTTTCTGGTTAAGCTTTCAAGGTTTTATTTTATTATGCTGTGATAAAATCTCCAACGGTGAGATTGAATTACATGCCCAGAAGCACTTCTCAAAGGACAAAGTACCAGAAGGAAATAATATTAAATATCTTCTGAAGAGAAAGCTTCCAACTCAGTATGACAAAGAAGAAACTCAACCAAGAGTTTGACCTGATCCCTCTTTATGAAGTATGGGTTTCCTGCTTCTAGATGAGTGTATCTTTTTTAGCTTGATATTTTTTTCATATGAATCTCATCATCTCCCCTGAAGTATTTATTATTATTGAAATTTAGATGCTGTGTGAGAAAAATGAGGGTGCTCTTTGCCCAGGGAGTTTATTTTTTAAAGAAGGCAATTTGATATCCTGCCTATCTCTTGATCCTCCTGACACTGATCCATCAGGCGTGATTTCCATTACTGAAGAGGATAGTGGGGTCTAGAATGTACTGTACAAGTTCTAGCAGATCTTTGAGGTGGTCCACCTACTTTTGGAGCACAAACAGCAAAGGGTTTTGTGGTTTGTTTGTTTGTTTTACTCAAGAATATATGGCATGCTGCCATCTTGCATCTTCTTTGGGTTTCCTGATGACTATCTTCATATGTTCTATTGAGTCAATAGAAGAATCAGTCTTTCTAATTCCCTTGCCTCTTTAGTTGATGAAAGTGATAGGGTGGTTCCTTAGCCAATAATTTCTTATCACTGTCTTACTGAAAATGTCTTCCACAAAAGGAACTGGTTACGCTGGGAAGCAGAAGTGCAAAGTTCTTACATAGCTCTGGCAATGGGAGGAAAGTGAAAGATTGTTGGGTCTAAAAGGAGGGATCAAATGTTGCTGACCAATTTTAAACCACACCTGAAGAGCAGGCGAAAGGGTCTTCTTTCAGTTTTTCTGAAACTGTGTTGTAATGACAATATGGTTTTGTGTGTCTGTGTGGTTTTGTTTTCGTTTTGTTCTTGACTCCGCAGGAAGAGGTTTAAACATGAAGGCAAACCTTTTAGATGTTAGCATGGCTACATATAAAGCAAAGCTGCCTTTTTTTTTTTTTTTTCTTTTCTTTTCTCTGCTTCCATTTAGACCTATCACATAATTTAAGAAAAAAATAAAACTTTAACCACAGGAGCTCTAACTATAGTGTGAAAAAAAAAAAAACCCTGATCAATTTTGTTTTCGCAGCACGATATTATCAAAGATTTAAGAAACAAATTTGCCAGCCTCGGCGAGAACTCTCTGGTAACAGCATAAATGTCTGTGTTGGTTGCTTTTGATTTGAAGGTTTCTTTTTTCATTTGTTTGAGCCCATTTCTTCCCCCGCCCTTTTAGTTTACTTTCTTTTTCATATTCTGTAACTAGCAAGCCTTCATTTTTTAAACCTCTTCCATCTTCCTGTGTCTATTTTCCGTACTTTGGATGGAAAGTTTATGGCAGCAAAACTGTCACTCTGGCTACTTCTGCTGCAGCTCTTTCTGCTCTTAGGTCATATATGTTTTGGCCGTTGTGTTATGGACATGATACTAATTGACTGTTTCATGTCCCATTGACTAAGCTTCTCTACCACGCCATTTGATGGACTCGCTGTCCCAGGGCTCTATGCAACTTTCATTTTGCAACTTATACTGCTTAGTTCCGTCTCAATTCTCCAGCGAACTGGATAGCTTAAGTGAATTATCCTACCAGTCTTGAACTTGCTGTGCCTTTATATTTTACTTGTTTTTCTTCTTTATGTTTTTTTCTTCTTTATGGTAGTTTAAGTGGAAAAGAACAAACCCCAGCCATTTGCACTAGCGCACCATGCGGTATCGTTGTTACCACCAGAGAATACAAAATATAAAGGCACACTGCTTCTTTTATTCTTGGGGGGTGACTGGGGAGATGTGTATCATGAGTCCGCTACTTAGTTGAAGCCTCCCTTTTTATTCATATCAGCTTTCAACTTTGCTTAAACTCCAACACGTCTCAGTGAATGTTTTTCTGTCATTCGGTGATAACTTGCAACTCGAGCCATTTGCTGAGCAGTATCAAGTTACGGCCACGGCATGGGAGATGATTGAAAACGTAACAAACTGATGCACAAATGTATAATTCAGAAAGTGCAAGTTTCAGTGACGAAGTATAGTACTTCAAAACTGTGATACGGGCTTTGGACTGATCAAACAATTACAATTGAGAAAATCCATCCTGATAAGCCAGTACCAAAAGTATATCAAGAAAAATACAAAGGGGCAAAACCGAGAGTCGAATATTGTTAACATCTGTTGAATAACATTGTTGGTGTTGAAATGGTCCATAATGTTGTCATAGAGCCCATACATGAAGAGATGACTAAAAATACGGTTTATAGAAAGCTGCTATGCTTAATGACAGCCACAACATAAATGGTTGGGATTTGTGTTCAGGAAAAAGAAATGGAAAAGCAAAAGCTTCTGTACCAACAAGCCAGGCTCCATGACCGCGGGGCAGCTGAGATGGTGCTGCAGACCATCAGTGCCAGCAAAGGTGAGGCTCGCTGCTCCCCTCAGACTTCTTTATGCCCTAGGAGCACCCTTATTTAAATTCTGCTGATTTAGTCGGTCCCTGAATTTCTTGTTCACCACGAGGTCAGGTGACTTCAGAAAAGCAGGCTCTCATTAACCCAGTCCAACACTGGGTTTTTTTCAGTCCTACTAAAATGTTTATTTCTGTTCATTAAGTTTTGGAAATTCTATCATGACACAAGCCTAACAAACCATATAAATTAGGGATGGGCAAACGTTTTCTTTGAGAGGCGAGATAATAAAACGTTTTTGGCTTTGCTGGCCTCGAACTCTGCCATAGTAACAGGGAAGCAGCTAGAGACAATACGTAAACAAACTGTGTGGCTGAGTTCCAATAAAACTTTATTTACAAAAACGTATGACAGGCTGGACTTGACCCTTTAGTCCATAGTTTGCTGACCCTTGATGTAAAAGTTTAGACTTTTTAAGTGAGCCCTTCATAACAATTAAAATACTATTGTATTTTTCAGTGCCAGCCAAGATAATTTTTCTTACATTAGTAATATCTTCTTTGTAGAAACATTTTTACTATAATTTGTAATGGAGTGGAGAAATAACAGTTATGCATTCTGTTATTAAGCACCCCTTTCCCAGATTCCTAAGATATTTCTATCTCTATTATTGTTTCTTTTTCTGTTTTTTTTCTATATTCCATTTCTAAGGTAAGTAGAGGTGAATAACATAAAAATAAAATATACTCAATGATAGACAACTGGTTGGATTTAAAATTTTGTCATTATTGGGCACCTGGCTAGCTTAGTCAGAAGAGCATGTAACTCTTGATCTCAGCCCCATGTTGGGTGTAGAGATTACTAAAAAAAAATAATGATGTATTGTATGGTGACTAACATAACATAATAAAATTTAAAAAAATAAAAAAATAAACTTAAAATTTTGTCATTATTATTTGAATGACTTAAAATTGTGACCAGTCATCCTAATAAAGCAATACTATAAACATAGTAAGATAAAAGTTGAAATGAAATGATAAATGATAGAAGTTGTTCAAACATAATATGGAGAGAAGAGGGGAGAGTAATTTTCCTTGAAATCTTAAGTAGCTCTTATTCATTTCAAGTATTATTTTAATATTCATGATTAATTTTGAATCTTTATAGTTTTAGGTGTCAGTATTTCAAAATCAATTGTTTCTTTTTTTTAATTTTTTAAAGATTTTGTTAGAGAATGCGCATGCAAGCAAGAGGGAGGGGTAGAGGGAGAGGGAGAGAAAGAATCTGAAGCAGACTCTACCGAGCATGGAGCCCCATCTCACAACCCTGAGATCACGATCTGAGCTGAAATCAAGAGTTGGATGCTCAACCAACTGAGCCACCCAGGCGCCCCCACCTTTTTTTTTTTTAATGTCCCCATACAGTTTCCATTCCTGAATACATCAGACAGAATTTAGTAAAAACATTGATGGGAAAATATGCATTATTATCCTTGAAATGTTTTTGGTACATAAGTCAGTCTGTCCATTGTTAGGCAGATTTGTAGGGGAGTGATAATTTTAAAAGTGTACGTTTTGAGACAGAAATGGTTAATGTAGTAGGTGAAGTGATACAAGGAACGCTATTTTTTGTATTTTTTCAGGTGATACTGGACCAATGGTAGCTGCAACTTTGAAACTTGGAATTGCTATCTTAAATGGTGGCAACTCCACAGTACAGCAGGTAATGTCTTTAAGCCAACCCCATAAAGTGCTCTTCAAACAGATGGACCATATCGTCATCCCATTGAACTGTTCTAGTCATCCTAGAAGAACTATTAGTTGTAAAATTTTTCATTTTCTGTGTAAAAAAAAAATGCATTTATTTGATGGCCATTTCCTACCAGGATTCAAACATCTAGGTCACACCCTGCCATGTGGGGCACTAAAACGCTCTTGAGAAGTCTGAAGTCCAATCAGATGGTGTCATCATGTGAAATTTGCATTTCATGTGAATAAATCAGCATGAAATGGTTTGTTTTAATAGTGGAGAAAAGTAAATATTCTTATCTCAGGAGCCTAGTTTGGCAACATGTTTTATAGTGTTATACCATCTCTCTCATGTTTTTCTGTATCGGCTTCTGTAATGAGAAAGGACAGTTTATGAACATGGAACTGATAACCGTTGTTTCTTGGGTAAGTTTTGGCAACGCAGGGAAAGGGCTCCCCTACCAGGAAGGGCAGGGTAAGAAGGGAAGGCTAATGAAAATCTTAGGATATTTGACTTCAGGTTGCTGTGAGCCCTAGAAACACGACAGTGGGACAAAGCCCTGAATATGTTCCCAGAAGAACTTTGATTCTAAGAAAAGCAGAGAAAATTTGAAGGTTGCCTTCGGGTTGGTGAAGATTTGGACTAGGTTAAGTTAGCAACCCAGAGTAGCTGAAAAATTCGTCTTTACATTTTTCTCAAATTGCGTGCCTCTTTTTCTGCAAATACAATTGTGACATTTTCAGGCTGGAGGAGTGTATTGGTCTAATCTAAGCCAGGGTGCCTAACTTTTTCTTTTTAATGCCTCTGACAGTTTAGTGAAGCATCTGGACTCCTCTTGGTGTCATGTTTTTAAATTGCAAAGTGAGATCGCACAGGTTTACACAAGAAACCACACCTAGTGAAATGTGGTTATTCAATATTATAAACAGGTTTTTGATAAAGTAATTTGTGTTCCTTTATGAACTCGTTAAATAAAAGATCTAGTACTTGATCTAATTATTGAGAAGAAATGATTAGTCTAAACATTTTTAAATCACTTCAACAATGACTGTGATATGAAGATCTCTGATATTTCTGTTGGTGACGATATCAGGGTCTGTGTTTGTTGCTTATATTAATAGTTGAAAGAAATGCTAAATTTCCATTAGAACTTAGTGAAAATAATGATGTCTTTTTTCCCTATCCAATTTACAGCTGTCCTTTTTTGATTTCCATAGCAAATGACTACATGACTTAAATTTAAAAAAAAAGGAAAACTGAAGAAAGCTTATCTACTCTCTATAATATTTAGCACCAAATAATTTCCCTTTATGTTTTACTTCAAAAGTCCTTAATTATATAGCATATAGATTCAGAAATCCTTGGAGCTGAAAGGAGCCATGAGAGATCATGTAATATACATACTTGTCTATACAGGCTTTTCTTTTTTCTGTAAACCTTCAGATACATATTCTACCACCTCCCTTTAACTCTGAGCCATATTCCTTGTGTTTTAAATTTCCAGTGATTAATAAGTGCTTCATGTTTTATTAGACCAGTAACTTATCACACTCCCCCCAAAATGGCCAGGTGTTTGTGTGTATCTCGGTGTGTACTTACTTGTATGTATGTGTATATGCATGTGAGGTGTATATATGTAATACACACACATACACACACGTGTGTGTGCATGCACGCGCAGACACCCAGCCTTTACATATTTAGTAACTTACCTTTCACTTAAATTTCTGGAAACCAAATTGCTACCAAAATGTTGACCCTTTTAGCTCAATCCTATTTAGCACTGATAATAGGAATTATTCACCTCTATTCAAGATTCGGAGAAGAGCAGTATCTTTATTTTCTTCAAGCCTTTGGTGTGTCTTCTATCATTTTATCATCTTGTGGGTACTTCTTGTTTGAAACTTCCAACACATCTGTTCCACATTCAAAGCAGCTGTTTCACTGTAATATATAATAATAAGCTAAGAAGGTAGAGCCGTGCATTGCTCTCGCATTTTTTACTTTTGTGTTTAATCAAAATATTGACCACAGAATCTGGACATTGTTCTGACAACAGAGAAGAAAAATTTAATAGTCAATGATTCCTACCATTCCTTGGGTTTAGAGATCATGATAATAGAAACTAAATTTCTATCTATAACATTAGCATATGGTAGTCAACACTACCCTCATTTAAGGACCTCACTTTTGTATGGAAATCTGTGACTAGCATCTTGGTGGACCTTTGTCCCAGTAGGCTTGAACTAAAAAATCTGAATCTTCAAATACTTAAAGAGTGACTAGAAGAGTTAAGAGTAGTATTTTTCCCCGGATATTCATGGTGCTTATGATGTTTATGTAAAGCAACTCCCTTGTTCTGAGCCACTTTTATTGACATTGAAATATACAACCATCCTGCCTTGACATGCTCATCACTGTTTCATGGTAAAGTTACGGTCATATTTGTATGCACTGAGTGTTTTTTCATCTTTATCCCAGCATAGAAAGCATATTTTAGTTGTTTCTTATTTAACAAAAAATGAGATTTGTGTTCAGTAGCCCTGTGGTTTATATATTTACTATAGAAAATGCTTGACTACCTCAAGGAGAAAAAGGATGTGGGCTTCTTTCAGAGTCTGGCTGGTCTGATGCAGTCATGTAGGTAAGCACACACCTCCCTTGTTTTGGTTCTTCTACTCAGTGGATTGTATCTTTCAAAGTTTTTGTTTTACATCGCTGACACCAATGATACAGAGAATATTTTTTAATGATTAAGTACACGTTAAAGTGGGACAGTAGAGGATGTCTTATTTTCTATCTTGTTGTTAGCTGTTAGTAATGTCTTAATTATTAACGTACTCACTGTTAATGATGTCTTATCATAGTCTTCCCTATGATTAAATAGGGACCTTGGGGAATTGTGTATTCTGCGTACTTGAAAATGAGCAGTGTATGAATTTTAAAAGAGGAAAAGGAAAATTCTGATGAGTTTTATTTGGGAGCTTGTAGACCATTTCTCATTTTCCCTAAATAAATGATCCTTCACCAACTAATTTATGATAATCAGTGTCTATTTTTTACAGTATTTAAAATCACTCAGACAGCATTTGACAAAGGAATCTGACAGATACTTAATGTAATAAGTTATCCAGCTGGAAAAACATGATTATTATAATTATATTTCAGTGTGTCTACTAACTTTGTAATGTACTCCCAAAGTTGAAACCCATTAATGCCTTATGTTTGCCTTTCACATGGATCATTTCAGTGCAGACCCTGGGGAGAAACTGGGCTGCTACTAGGAAAGTATGCTTGGTAGACATTGAATTGGGGCATGTCTTCAGCGTATGTTAATATTTGGTTCACATTTCGTGAAACATGATTTGTAGACACTTGCTCTCCTGAAGAAAGAAGATTTTCTATTAGTCCTCTAAGTGTGTTTCTCCCTGTTATTGTAGTGTCCTCGACCTAAATGCATTTGAGCGACAAAACAAAGCTGAAGGACTTGGAATGGTGACCGAGGAAGGATCAGGTATCAATCACTTAAATTAAAAGGATCAACTGCCCCCCTTTCCTGAAATGAGTCAGTTACCAATTACCTTTTCAATACAAAGAGATACAAGGTTATTTTTAAGTGGCCAAAATGCTTATGTGATTCATTTAAAAGTTCATAATTGCACACTCCCTCAGATCACACCCAAAACTCAACCTTCCCTGTTGGCCATTAACTCCTTTTTGTTCCAGACCTACTGTAGGTCACCCTTCCCCTAGTTGGGTGGTAGATCAAGATCCCTTATTAGATAATGAATTATCTGTAAAATTATAAAGCACATGGATGAACCAAGTTAGAGAATGTTTGACTTCTTGTGGCTACTTTGGCAAACTGCCCAACTCTCAGATTCTTCTGTCTCCTTAGAATAGTGATGCTTTGGGATCCTTCCATTAACCATTATTTCAACTGTCTCCTCCCTTTTAGAACAGATATCTCATACATTCATATGTCTTTGCAAGTCCAAATTTGATGAAAATAATTAAGGAGTCATTTTTAATGTTTAAATAATCCCGATCACTTAATTTACATGTGCACAAATAGAATGACTCACATAATCTTAAAGTTTTTTTTTTTCTCTGTAAATAGATGTGCATATAAACTAGAAAATTTAGCACACAGGACATTTAAAGCAGAAATAACTATTGCTGCACTTTCATTTCAGTATTTATTAAGAAAAAAATCTTCAATATTTTTTTGTCTTGATTTGCTTTTATTCTTTTGTGTTTGACTTTTTTCAATTAATTTATCTTCAGTGAGGCCCTGTGTGTTTATCTGTTTTTGTTTGCTTGGTCTTGTTTGGAGTGGTCATCTTATCAATATATTAGTTTTGGAGCATCAGATCTTTGATAAAACTAATCTTGTTGCAAAAAAATAAATTTTATCCCATCTGTCATTTGTAGTCTGTTTACCTTTCTGAAATATTTTAGAAATAACTGATCTCTCTAATTATTTCCATATATTTTTGTTCTCACAATAGGTAAAAAGAATTAGCTGCATATTTCTTACTGTTTTCTAAAAATTATCACTTATGTATATTCTAATGCTTCTACTATACAGCTCCTGTGTGCTTTTGTTTTCTGCTTGACATTTGAATGTATAGGTTCAATCATCAACTGTCAGTCCTACAGTTACCTAATTGTGTTAACTAACTTGAAGGAAAATTGCCAGCAGCAGTCTAAACTTAAATTTTCCAAAATGAATATCCAGCTAAATCTCTTCATTATTAAGGGTTGTGTCAACAGTTATAACACCCAGCCTGAGGGCCCCATCTGGAGAATTCAGAGTCCTTACAAATCTCAGGGCCCATTACCTGCCTGCCTCTGGGGTCTCCAGGAAGCCCTGGGCATTTTCCTTTAGCTGTAAAGTGCCTGAGAATGAATGAATTCTCTGTCCGAAGTCTGACTTCCCTGTCTTGGAATTAGAAATCAATTTCATTTTTCCCTACAGTTATTACTTAATGTTCCAGAGGCATGAACACAGGCCCATTAATCATTCTTCATCATTGTTCATATCGGCTCACGCAGGACCAGTGGCCCCCGGCAGGCTTAGTTTACTGGGTCTCCTGTCCTTTGTCAGCCAGATGCAGACTGGAGTAATATTCGTGAGTCCCAGCTCAGAAATCACTTGGTGAGAATGACCATTCTGATGCGAGAATTAGTCCCATCTCTCAATATGAGATTGATTTGATTTGTTTATTCTTTTTCAACACACACAAATAATTGCCCAAACTGATTAACACTTTTTCTATTTTACTTCCTTACAAACAGCAAGGCAAAAACAACATCTCAACTTCTTTTTTTCCCCATTTCCTTTTCCGTCGACTGTAAATGTACTTTCCTCCCTTCCTCAGTCATCACACATGAGCGTGGTAATTATTACAAATGATCTGCCTTTTCTTTATTTGCTCCTTCATCTGTCCTTAGCTTTGTGTATAGTCTTGACAGTGACAGTTTTTTGTGTGTGTGCATTTCTTCCTTTTATAGACTGTTTAACGAATAGATCATTTCATTTCCATCATTATGCATCCTTTTATTTTGAAACTCATATACCAAGCTTTCCTTTTTATTTCTTTCCATGAGGATGTGCAGTTATTAACATATTAGTCACGGAGGGGTGAGAAGCATTTCAGTTAACGTTTCTGGATTTGTTTTGTTCCGTTTCTTTCATTTTGAAAAAATTCTGGTGGATCCAGTGTTTGCAACTGTTGTGTAAATGAATGAATCATAGATGTGTGCGGTAGTCTCCGTGTGGCGTTTCTGTCTTGGACATACTGTGGCTTTATGGCTGCACCAGCGGGTGCACGGGAAAATCAGTGGTGATCTAGTTGGGGGTGGGGTGGGGAGACTGGGACTGGCTGAGTCTCCTCGTGGCCAGGGGGCTCTGCCGGTTTAGTTTCCTTCCAAATGTTGAGAGATCTACCGAGTTTTACTCTAGTCCTTTAAAAACATCACACATTAAAAACCTTCTTAACATAAAAACTGTTTTTCATTCTTGAGACTGACTTCGAAGATTGGTAGGAACAGTTGCAAACTAATATAATAACACAGATGGTAGTTTCTAAAAGACATGATAGGCAATGGTAATAAACAAGGGATGAGATTTTTGAAGAGATCAAATTGTGCTCTCTGAATATTCTGTCTTGCCTTTATCAAGAGGTCGATTAGGACACACAATGGCAATTCAGTCGCTCTACGAATAATGTACTTCCCAAATTAAGAATGCCTAGAGCAACTCTGTCTTTTGGCATATTTTAAAAATTTCTGTGACATGCCCATTCTTTTGTTTAAGGGTCTACAGAAGTTAAGAAAAGTTTGTACCCTCATAGAAGAAGGAAAATCGATCATCCCTCCCAGAATACATAGAGAAGGTTGAAAAATCTCAATCTGTTAGCTTCAGAGCCTGAGGCCCAAACAGTATAAACTCAGCCCTGAGAGAATAATCTGATGATCTGACTTTTCTCCATCCTAACCAGCTGTCTCTATTAGGCTAAATCTCTTCCTGATGATGATAAGAATGATTGTAAATTATATAGCCATGCCAAGTGTTTAATTTAAATATACCTTTTTGATACCTACAACCACCAGTATGATATTGTCCCCATTTTATAGGTAAAGAGACTGAGGGGTGGAAAGGTTACATGGCTTGTCCAGTATCACACAGTGTAATGGCAGGGTCAAGACTGAAATGCAGGCCTTCTGCCTCCCACTGTTACCAGTTGCACAAGCCAGTCCCTTCCTCCATCTTTTGATATCTTCCCGGGGCTTATTTTATACTCACCGTATTGGGTTAGGTAGTATTTTTTGCTTCTTTACTTATTGCTCATTCCTCCCTTCAAAGACACTAATCTATTGCCAACTTTTGCACTTAATGTTGAAGTTGTAAAATCACTTTGGAACTTTGTATGGTTACACGTGATACTCCTAATCTTGTTTTGAGATACCATTGGGAAATACATGCCTTTTTAAGGTTTGTATGTAAGGATTTCAGACTAATCATTTAACACTCCTTTTTCCACTGCTGTTACCATCCTGTAAGTTTGCCAGTATTACTATCCCTTCTTCCTAAATTTCCCCCGTTTCTACAAAAGCCAGGACCTCCCACTTGTTTAAAAAAAAAAACAAAAAACAAAACAAAACAAAAAAAAACCAGTTTTCCTTCACAGGTGTGTTTAGTAGATTTGTGATGTGCTCGGTGTTGTCCTCTCTGTATATTTTTTAGTCATATGTGTTTTCCTTTAACATATAATGAAGTTCAAAACCAAAAACCTATATGAATATTTAAAATTTCATTCCATCCTTGGATTTTTTTTTTTCTCAGAACCATTAAACCTCATTACGAAGTCATTATGAGCTTGAAAGTGCAATTTTTCTTCTTTCAAACTTCTTGGAATGTAGTAGAAGATATTTTATTTTTTGATCCTCTGGCAGTGGTCCTAGACTTTATCAGCAAGATGAAATCTTGAAGCTGATCTCATCCCTCAGAAATTGATTTTTAAAAATTCTGTATTAAAACATTAACTACCAATTAACCTAAGTTTCCATCTGTATCTGATAATGCGCTAAATCAAGGTTCTTACTCGGTGTGTTTATAGTGACCTCATCAAGTCTGTATGCAGTTGCAGCAAAAGAATTGTTAATTAAAACAATGATTAACACAATCTCTCAATATTGGCTGTCCTAATTTTTTGTTAGTAGTGAAGTTACTCAGTACTTTAATTATGTATTGGCTATCTCCCACCCCAGGTTTGCAAAGTCCAACACAAGTGTAGTTCAGCTTACCCCCTGAATTCTGACTACACTGCTCTGCCTTTCCTGTGGGTCAAGTTTCTTGTCAAGGAAAGCCTGTGATGTTAATTCACGACACTAATTAGATTTTTCTAACATCCCTGCACAGTTTTTAAACAGTAAAGCCCGGATCGAAATTGGAGTGGCTGTTGTGTGCTAGACGCTGTCCTAGGCATCGGAGTTCTTTATGGGCTCAGCCTCGTGTAGACAGACTTGTAAACAAATAACTTCGAAACCCATGATCTGTGTGTGTATGAGTGAACTGAGTTGAAGTACTTGGCTGCCAGGCTTATGGGGAAGGATCACAGGAGAAGTAACAGATGGCCTGAAGTAGGTGTTTACCTGGTAAAGAAGAAAGGCAAAGGAAGACATTTCCATGGAAGGGAACCACATATGCAATGCTGAAGGTACAAAGCATGACAAAGAACATCACTGACCTAATATGGTTGGAGAGAAATAGACTAGAGGGGAAAGATAGTTTGTGGGACCCTGTGAAAGCCTTTTGTGCCATGCCAAGGAATTCCATGCTTCCTTTCTGAGGCCACAAAGAGCCATTTGGTAAGTAACACATCAGTAGTATCCACCTGACAGCAAGTTCCTAGCATCCATTGTTCAAACCAGCAACATTAAAGTGCACAGATTATTCATTCCTCAGTAATGCTAGCATGCTAAATAGACTCTGAGTCTTCCAAGGATAGTGAGCAGCATGATTTCCTTCATGGAAGTTGCGGAGCTTTGAGGTTATGTTTAGTGATAGATTGAGGGAATTTTTGAGAGTATATTTTTTGTAATTACTGTTAAAGGAATCCATCTGTTTATTGGGAGAGTGTTATAATTAAATTGCCTATGAGTGTTGTAGGCAAGAGTGCATAAGATGGATATCACAATCTGAGGGTAGGGAGATCAGTTAGGATGTTGGTGGATGGAATGGATGAACAGTAAGGATTCCAGTTAGAGTAATGGGAGCTGAAAGGCATTAAGAAGAGGTTATAAGAGAAATAATCTGCAAATCACATTTGAAAGCAAAGGGATGTCTTCCTCCATAGCTAACGTGTACTTTAATTCTGTTATCCATGGGACATACCTAATTTATTTCACATAGTGGTCATTTTTGCTGTCTTGGGATCTGAAAGAGGAATACATTTTATGCACTGGTGTCAAGTTGAGTTCATGGAATATGTAGATTATTTATTACATCCACAACCCACTGAAAGTCTATATTTTAGAAACCTAGGTCTTTTGAACCTATGACTTCATGTTGTTAAAATGTCACTTTTATTCCTATTGTGCTTTGCATATTTCAAAGCAATTATACTTGCCCAAACCAATTTTATTCTCCCAATAACCCTATAAAGTAAGGAGTTCTGGAGATTGTTCATTCGCATATCAAAATGATGAAACAGAGGCTCAGAAAGGTGAATTGACTTTCCCAAGGCCACATATCTGGAAGATGGGTTTCCTTAGGTTCTAAAATTGATTAAAAACAAGGAGGAGTTCACAATTTAACTAACATATGGTGCACGTAGTCAATGATTGTTAGCCAAAGAGCTTATCGATTACTGATGTGAGCTTTAGGAAGTTTAGAAACTATAGAATACTGGACTCAGAAAGACCTTATGATATTGAAATGACCTGTTCATTGCCTATCTTTTCCATTAGACTATGAACTTCAGGTTCAGGTTTGTGTCTGTTAGTCTTTATATGCCCAGGACCTCACAAGGTGCCTAGCGTAGAGGTGACACTTAATGAAGGTTTATTGAAATTTACTTGACTCAAACCCTTTACTAGTTAATAGCTATAGGACGTTAGTCAAGTTACTTAATTTCTCAGTTGTTTACTGAACCACAAGATGGGATTCATGTCACCTGATTCATAGCATTATTGCAAACCTGAAATGACATGATGAGAAAATATATCTAGCACAATGCCTAGTGCACTGTAGTCACTAACTAAATGTTAATCGTGAATCCATTTAAAAAATTGTATCCCTTGTTGGTTGAGTGGTAGTATAATTTAAGCAGCCAGTTAAACCATTTAAGTGGTGACATTAAAATCGCCCACGTGGAATCAAATACCTGACTTTTCACTATTTAAAAATATTTTTATCTTTCAGTTTTGCCATTGCATAAAATAGGTATTTGAGTCCTCTGAAGATCAATGATCAGAACTATTTCTTCCATGGCAGTGGTGGGGTCGGGGGTGGTGGGGAAACACTGTTGAGTTCCACTTAACAAGCTTTTGTAGGGAGTTCTTTGATGCAACCAGTCTTCTATTCCATGCTTCTCACCCTTTTAGCTTTCCATTACTGGAGATGTTGCCATGAAAAGACCTTACAACAAAGAGGATCTTAGTCTTCTGGTTTATTTATCCTAATTCAATTGTTTTTATATATCTACTAGGTAGTCTTTTCACTCATCGCATTCATTTTTTTAACAATTACTGATAACTTTTAGCAATTAATAACAATTAAACCAAGCCCCTCAAGGCCACAATGTTGGACTATGACCATCGATGTTTTAGGTAACCAATAAACACTTAAGCAAACCCTTGTGTACTTTCCTGTTAATTAGATAAACCAATTGTGAGTGGAACAGTGACCTTTAAAAGTGATAGATTTTTAAGGGGCACTTGGGTGGCTCAGTCCGTTGAGCATCTAGCTCTTGGTTTCATCTCAGGTCATGATCTCATGGGTCGTGAGATCGAGCCGCACATTGGGCTCCACACTCAGTGGGGAGTCTGCTTGAAGATTCTCTCCTTGTGGCCCTCCCCTCACTTGCTTTCTCTCTCACTCACTCTCTCAAATAAAAAATAAATAAATCTTTTAAAAAATAAAAAGGGATTAGATTTTTTAAAATAGGAATTAATTTTACTGAGAGCTTGAACAAAAGAAAGTCTACTAATATTATTTCCAAGTGAAAATGTATGTTTTTGAGAGTATTTTGGTCCATTAAAATTGGCTTTTTAGAAATAATAAACACATTTAATAAGTATGTTCAAATAACCATATTCACCACCTAGGCATGTTGTTCCCATCTTTATTTAGTATTACTGCCACTGCTACTAAGAACTGTAACCTTTCCACAATTTCTAAAAATGGTCTCACAAATTATGAAGAACTAGTGAGGTAGACAGTGCACATGTTCTCATTTCATAGATGAGAACACTGAGGCACAAAAAAACCCCATCTCATCATCAGCAACAGTATTGAAATAACTCTCTCTTTATTACGCTATTAGAAATCATAAGCCCCTTATAATTAAAAATGAAACCAAAGGAATGCCCTTTATCATATTCACATTTGGCCATCACGCAGCTATTACAAATAATATTTTAAGAACATCAGAGCACTTTCAACTACATTTTACTCCATTTCGTTATGTTATTAATCTTGGTTTCCATCTTACAATGGAATTTCTTTTGCATACATCACAAAATAGACTGTTGATCCTGTACCTTCTGCAGACATAAAGCCATCATCCATCTCTGTTACTGTACCACTTACATGCAGCATGGGGAATGGCAGCATTTTAATCAGATAGTAATGTGTCCATTAAGCAATAGCATCCCAGTTTATACCTCGTATCACCTGATGGTAAATAAAGACTTGGCCGCCCCCTCCCCCCACTCTCCTCTCCCTGTTGTTCTGCTGTGTGCTGCGTGTTCTTATGTGAGTAAAGTTACTTGTACGTGTTTTGGTATATAGTCATGGAAATACTGTGCATGCAGACAGTAAATACAGCCTTATGTTATAAATCAGTGTGCATTGTGCAGAGCATTTTTAGGAACACAGGTAGACTATATTTTTTTTTCATTGTTAACCTTTCTGAATACTTTCTATCAAGGGTTACTTATTCCACATTGAGTATATGAACATTGAAAGTACATGGTCTATTGATGCAATTTTCTAGGAAAAAAAAAACATTTTAGATGGGCTCACAAGGAGAGAGTCAGTAAGTCTGTGTAACTAGCTCATAATATTTTGATTTAAATATCATGTTAAAGACTCTTCTGATTCAAATAGTTCATGGAAAGATAGTAAGTATCATCAGTGAAGAGTTTAGTTTATTAGCCTAGACTGTTCTCCCTTTCTTTGCTATATCCCGCCATGAATGTAGACACTGAGGAATGGGCTTATCAGCCATGGACTGAGATTCACAGCAATGTGCCCTTAAACTTGAACTTGCCACACGACTAATCTGTATGCATGGTGATTTTAGTTTGGTCACCAAATATCATATCTTGCAGGGAAACCAGTACAGTGATTTTATGTACTTTTTTTAATGTTTATATTAGTTTTCAAAATGGTTTTGCTTCCTAACCCTCCCATTATATGAAGCCTCTCACTTTGAAAGTCACAGACTGCAGACTGGTAAGTCCATCAGCTCTCTGTCCTTATAATCATTCATAATTTATTTAAAGTAAACACATGGTCATTGCATAGTTTTCTTTCTTGGCCCAAAGTATTTCCTCCAGTCTGAAAAGTTATCATTTTTTTTAAAGACATAAGTACATTCATCCACTTGCTGAACAACATTTTTGTGTCATTTTGATTTCTAAACAACAAATTTAGATGCCAGAGCGTACACTCATAACGTTGAACATTTTTCCACTGACACTCTATGCTTTTAAAATCAACTTTCATTTGTGTGGTGCTGTTTTTCTGTTTGTTTCTTTCTTTGTGTTTTTGCTTTCAGAGTGACTTGTGATCAAGATACATTTTGACTGAAATGTAGGTAAAATATCTGAACCCTTTTCTGAGGTGTCATGCTTGCCCCACAAATACAGTTTTTTTTAATGGTGCTGAGTAGCTTCTGTAGCTCTAAGATAGCCTTCTTTTCATCTTTCCTGCTTAGATTTACTCACAGAGCATGAGCCACCAAAGTCTTTCTTTTGGTTTAATATTTATAATTAGGTCTGTTCACCAGTTCTCTCTCCTCTGGAAGTCATGCTCCAACCAATGACGTCTCTATATCAGATTTCTGAAGGCTTTACTTTTTTTAAAACCATAGGCAAGCTAATGAGACTGTGAATTGAAATGAATTAAGAAACATTTTCTAGTCATTTACAATTTCTACAAGATTGTTTTAATTATTCTTTAAATAAAAGAAACTCCTGGCCCTGTTTTCTATATGCATTGAATGCCTTTGCATTTTGAATCATTTGATCAAACTCTGGGAACAAAGCAGACTTAACTTGGGTGTTTTTAAGAGATGGAGAGATCATTTCTAGACACACATTACCCAAAAAAAGAAAAGAAAAAAAAAAAAAGAAAAGTTTACATCTTCAGGTTGTTTCTAAAATGTTGCCAAACCCATGCTGCTACTTTTAACAGAGAGAAACTTGAGTTTTAAGATTCAAATGTTCTTTTCTGACAAAGAAAAAGTACATCTATCTGCCAAGCGCATGATCGTATGAGCTTCGGATAGAAAAGTGGCTATGATTTGTGACTGTTTTTGGTTCAGAACAATGCTAGATCAACATGCAAGTTTTATGGAGGTGGGGATAGAAAGGGAGGGCCAGGCCAGGGTCGTTGATCATGTCTGATTTCTCTGGACTTCCTACAGGAGAAAAGGTTCTCCAGGATGACGAGTTCACTTGCGACCTCTTCCGCTTCCTACAACTGCTTTGTGAGGGACACAACTCAGGTGCGTGAGACCCCCACTATGTGATGGTACCAAGGAATCAGAATTTTGAAACCAGTAATGACAGGGGCCTGCTAGTTCTAATTACACTTCATCCCTGAGTCAACAAACAATCTTGAGCCTTCTTCCGTATGTTTGGTATATGCAGTGTGACATTTTATGTATTATATTCCTACTTTCAAAGTCCTTTGCTAGCTAGCCATTTCCCTTAATTCCCATCAGCTGTTCTTCTGTTAGAGAAGACAGGTGGAAAAAAGATATACATGAGACAGATATCTACAGAGCAATATAGAGCTTTATTTCTTTTATACCACTTCTCTTCAACTGGGGAATATATTGTATTACTTGGCACAATGTATTTTCCTTTGTGGTTAATATAAATAGCTCTCTTGGGGACTTGTGCACCCCTGTGTAGGCAGGAACTGTATCTTAATTTTATCTTTGTTTCCCCAGCACTGAGCACAGTACTCAGGAACAAGTGATTCTTGAATACATAATTTAATTACTATACCCTAAAGGTTGGAGCCCCTTCCAGCGATTCACATGCCCAGAGCTCTAGAGCTTGGAATCAGGAAGCAGATGTAAGCCACCTTGTAGGTCAAAAATTGAATATTGATATTCTGTGAAGCACCTCGATGTGGTTGGGATGCCCACTTAAAACAATCCTCTTGGATAAAGCACCACTCTTAGCCACAAGGATTTTGCTGGAGACCTCATTTGCTTTTGGAGTTCTTCAAATAACTCATTTTAAACTGTTGAGGAAGCTTTAGTAATGTCTTTTGATCTTATGTAGATTTTCAAAATTATCTGAGAACTCAGACTGGCAATAATACAACTGTCAACATAATCATCTCTACCGTAGACTACCTCCTGAGAGTCCAGGTATGTTGCCTTCTGTTAGGAAGAAATGGAAGGGATTGGTTCGTTGAAATAAGGGGACAGAGTTATTAAACTGACGTGTTGTAATGCGCTTTGATGGATGACTAGACAGAATTTTTTGAGATACTTTGTCTTTGATCATAGCCTTTCACCAAGTTTTAGGGTGAAACTGCTCCTTTTGTCTTTGCCTCTGATCCTGGCTCCTCCTTTGCTCATTATTCTTTCTATAAGTGGGCATTTTCCCCCCATAGTTTTTAGCTTAATGGCATTTTAAATTCATTTTGTTTTGCAAAGTATTTACATGCTCTGCTCCTTCTGCTACAGTTGATAGATAAATGGGGGAAGAGTATTTGAAACATTTTCAAAAGTGAGAAAGAAAGGCTTTCAAAATACCTACAATACACTTAAATTTAACAGGTAGTTCTTTTCAGCTGTCCCGATACTTGAATTAATTTTAAAATTCAGCTTAACACTCCACCACTTAAGAATCTCCCTGATTTTGTAGTAATCTTTCACATGTTAATAAAACTGAATCTGAAGGCGTAGGCTCCTAAGTAATGGGAGCCCTGTACAAATTTTATTTCCCTCATCTTATTTATAAGAGTACCCAGATACAGTAGTTTAAAACCTGCACGTTCAAACTTTCAGTTTCTCCCTTAATCTTTTGAGTATGTAAAAGCACAATATTTTTTTTTACCTAATACTTCCATTTTTGAAGCAAATTACAAAAAATATTGCTGAAAACACATTTGTCATTTTTAAAATCATATCTCAAAACCCAAATGTAGCCTGCGTGCTGGACTACATTGTGTCATTCCTTTAGCCAACTAAAATTCCTTCCAATGTAAGTTATTGTTGAAAACATCCTGTTTAAAAAGGTTGATCCTGTTTAGATGTTTGTTTATGGTTGTCAGTGTTTTTAGTAGTCTAATCAGTTTCTTGAGGGGCATTTATAGAAACAAGGAACATTTTGGAGTTCTAATGAGGAAACGTTATGGGCTTTGTTGGAGAAAAAGGCCTGATGTCTGTAACCCAAAAAACATCCATGACTTGTCTAATTTTTGTGCTTACATAGTAAACATTTAACTTTGCTCAGTGGATAAAGATGCTTTAATCTTGTGAATCCTTGTGAAGTTCAAGATCATCAGAGACAGAAAGTCATTTTTAAAGCTAAGTTTTCTGCTTCTTCTCTCCAGCTGTTATTTCTGTCTAAGGAGGATAGGTTAGTGGTAGCTTTAGAATGTATCTTAATCTTATCATTCCTCTTTTCCAGGAATCCATCAGTGATTTCTATTGGTATTACTCTGGGAAAGATGTTATTGATGAACAAGGACAACGGAATTTCTCTAAAGCAATTCAAGTAGCAAAGCAAGTCTTTAACACTCTCACAGAGTATATTCAGGTAAACACTTAAATATTTTGGCTATTTGAAGAAAAAAAATAGTCAAGTGGTTAGCTTTGAATTCCATGGAAAAATACAATATGCCTATTTTCCTGCCATGATTCACATTTGCTATTAACCTTTCATATAGATTCTTAGCCAATGATGACAATTAAATATCAGGTTGAGATATGAATTTATATGGACTGAATTTGCTTTACTGTTTGGCAGATCAAGATATTATTGATTCCTTTGAGGCATGAACAAAGATGTTGACTCTGTTGTATCTCTGGGGCCTCATATATATATTAAGCGCTCAGTAAATATTAAAGAAAAGAGGGAAGAAAAAGAAAGAAGACGGGAAAGAGAAAGGACAGAGTGCTAAATTACTCCTTATTGTGTTCCAGTAAAACTAAGGAAGGAGTTTCATAGAAACTGTATATAAAAGAGAATAGTAAAACTTCATGTTAGAGCACACACGTGTGTGAAGGCACACACACACATACATATAAAATCATACAGTAATGTATATTCCAGGTAGAATTCCAATAACCATGAAGAAAGTATCTTTTTTTTTTTTTTAACATCAATTTGTTTTATATTCTCCTTAGGCTAAACTTCTAGACTTAACCTGCAGATTTTTTAAAGAGTTTATAAAATTTTGTTTTTTTTCAACGCATGAAACTTTGCGATTTCCTAGGGGACTGTGGGCCATCTTTCTGTTTTCTGTCTCCATGGCCAGTATTATTCTCAATCAGTCAGTCACTGTGTTTGAAGTGCCACCTGCCAAGGAGAAAACAGGAGGAATGCATTTAGTTTGTTTCATTAGACTAAACATAATCTTGTTGGGGGAAGAAGTTAAGTAAAAATAACAGATGGTCCCCCAGGGCCTAGCCTTGCTGCAGGTGTTTAAGGAATGACTGAGTGCATGGACACGCATGGCCAAGTGAGGCTGACGCAGGGGAGGTGCTGCAGAGGTTGGGGGTGAGAGGGACATGACCCTCACCTCCTTCTGCCCTTTCTCTCCTCTCTAGTCGTACCTTGGAAGGATCTCACTTTCTGTATTTGCTCCCTGGGTGGGGAAGAGGATCCTTATCTCAGCATTTCAAAATGGAAAAGCCACACTTGATCATTCTGAGAATTTTTCTTTAAATCAAATAAAACAAAGTTTAAATCTGTTCCAGACCGTTCACATTCCTATTTTCTTGTCTTCACTGGCTTCCACTGTTGCCTTCATATTCTCACGCATGTCTCGCAAGATATCGATATATGAATTCTCTTGATTAAATAATAAAATTATCTGATGACATTAGCAAGCCAGTGAATTCTCTAGAAAGCTGATAAAATGGTTTCTATATAACATATGGAACTTAAATGTGGAGAGTGAGCATTTCCTGGTTCCTAAAATAGGTGAGATTCCTAAATTTATATAAAACTAGAAGAATCCATTAACCTCTCACTATGTGCAAAACAGTTTTTTATTGAGATATCTTGACAGAACATTATATTAGTTTTAGACATACAACAATAATGATTTGATATCTGTATATATTGCAAAATGATCACTGTACTATGTCAACTTAGTTAACATCTGTCACTGTGTTTAGTTACAGTTTCTTTTCTTATGAGGAGAAAATTTAGGATTTACTCTCATAGCAAGTTTCAAATATGCAATACAGTGTTATTAACTGTTGTCACCATGTTATACATTACATTCCCAGGACTTATTTATTTTATAACTGAAAGTTTGTACCTTCTGACCCCTTTGCCCATTTCATGCCCCCCACCACGACCACCTCTGGCAACCGCCAGTCTATCCTGTGTGTTTATGAGCTTATTCATTTGTTTGTTTGTTTTTAGATTCTACATTTAAGTGAGATCATATAGTAATTGTCTGTCTCTGTCTGACTTATTTCACTTAGCATAATGCCCTCAAGGTCCATCCATGTTACAAGTGGCAAGTTTCTTTTTTTATGGCTGAATAATACTCCATTGTGTGTGTGTGAGAGAGAGAGAGAGATCACATTTTCTTTATCCATTCATCCATCAATAGACACTTAGGTTATTACCGTATCTTAGCTATTATAAGTAATGCCGCAATGAACATAGGATTGCATAGATCTTTTTGAGTTAGTGTTTTCATTTTCTTCAGGTAAATACCCATAAGTGGAGTTGCTGGATCATTTGGTAGCTCTATTTTAATTTTTTGAGGAATCTCCATACTGTTTTCTGCAATGGCTGCACTAATTTACATTCCCACCAACAGTGCACAAGGGTTCCCTTTTCTCCACACCCTTGCCAATGCTTGTTATTTCTTATATATATATATATTTTTAAAATAGCCATCCTAAAATGTGTGAGATGATATCCCACTATGATTTTGATTTGCATTTCCCTGATGATGAGTGACATTGAACATCTTTTCATGTGCCTGTTGGCCATCTGTATGCCTTTTTTGAAAAATGTTTATTCAGGTCCTCTGCTCAGTTTTAAATCAGATTGTTTTTTGGTGTTGAGTTGTGTGAGTTTTTATATAGTTTAGATATTAACCCCTTATCAGATATATGATTTACATGTATTTTGTCTCATTCAGTAGGTTGCCTTTTCATTTTGTTGATGGTTTCCTTTGCTGTGCAGAAGTCTTTTAGTTTGATATAGTCTCACTCGTTTGTTTTTGCTTTTGTGGCCTTTATTTTTGGTGTCAAATCCAAAAAATTATTGCTAAGACTTATATCAAGGATCTTACCACTGTTTTTTCTTTAAAGAACTGCTGGTTTTCAGATCTTACATTCAAGTCTTTAATACATGTTGAGTTAATTTTTTGTGTATGGTGTAAGGGAGGGGTCCCAGTTTCATTCTTGCGTATGTGGTATATGTTGTTTTCCCAACACAATTCATGGAAGAGACTGTCCTTTCCCATTGTATATTCCTGGTTTTTTTGTCATCAGTTAATTGACTACATATGTGTGGATTTATTTCCTGACTCTCTTCTGTTCATTTGATCTGTGGGTCTGTTTCTATGCCAGTACAATCCTGCTTTCAATAGTATAACTTCGTAGTATAGTTTGAAATCAGGGAACATGATACCTCCTGATTTCACAAGATTGCTTTGGCTACTCAGGGTCTTTTGTGGTTCCTTGCAAATTTTAGGATTATTTGTTCTATTTCATGAAAAATGCCATTGGAATTTTGAGAGGCATTGCATTGAATCAGTAGATTGCTTTGGATTGTATGGACATTTTAGCAGTATATAGTCTTTCAATCAATGAGCATGGGATGTCATTGCATTTGTTTGTATCTTCTTCAAATTCTTTCATCAGTGCCTTATAGTTATCACTGTACAAGACTTTTACCTCCTTGGTTAAATTTATTCCTAGGTATTTTAATCTTTTGATGCAGTTGTATGTGGAATTGCTGCCCTAATTCTCTTTCTGATAGTTTATTATTAGTTTATAGGAATACAACAGATTTCTGGGAGGGGTGGTCTGCCAAGAACTCCTCTATGGTTGTTAGAGGCTCATGGGACCCAGGATCGTGAGTCCACCAGATGTGTGTAAAGCCCCCCCTGTGGAGATACTGGCAGCAGAGAGAGAGTGCAAAGATAGCACTTAGTGGCTGGAGTGAGGCAGAGGGGAAGTTTAAACATGGTACACACCAGAGAAATTAAAAAAAGAAGAAAAATTTGAAAGATGGCACTCACCGGCTTTAGTCAAGCCCTGGGAGAACATAGATGAGAGAGCCCACAAACGAGAATAGAGATGATGCCAGCTAGTGTTAGTGAGGCAGAGGAGAAACGGGAAGATGGCAGCCTCCCTCCCTGGGGAGATCCCGGCAGGCCCTTGCCCCTCAGACCCATGCTTCGGAATTAGGAAATGAGTCTCTTTCACATGAAGTGTGGTACTTTACAAGGGGCTCCTTCTGCGCTGGGCCCTGGAGTGGGTGAGTCTACACTCAAGGGCACTTTATGAGCGTTTCTTTCCTTAGTTCACAGCCCCATAGGTCTTGTGGGTGGGAGCCCCATTGGTCTTAAAAGCCAGATGTTTGGAGGACTCATTTCTCAGGTACTGGTATTAATAGTTGGGGTGCCCAATGTAGGGTACAATCCCTTTGCTCCTCATGGTGAAACTCTGGGTTTTGAGTTTTCTTCCAGTTGTGGGGTATCATACCTCAAGTGGGGTTTATGGTGAGACTGCTCAGCCTTTCCTGCCTGCTACCATATGCTTTCTGTCTCATTTGCTGACAAGTAGGGGTCGGTCCGCCAATTTTTAGGTTTTTTTCAAAGGAAATTGTTCCATACATAGCTATAGATTTGGTGTATCCATGGGGGGAGGTGAGTTCAGGATCCTCCTATGTCACCATCTTGAATTGGAACCCCAAACTTTATTCTCACTTGTTTGTGTAACAGAGAACATTCTATATGAGAATTCAAGGGATAAAGTAGCTTGGCTTATTATGGCTTGTTCATTTTTTTTGAAGATACTTAAAAATCTATTTATTTGAGATAGAGAACAGGAGCAGGGAGGGAGAAGCAGACCCCCCTACTAAGCAGGGAGCCTGACTCAGGGGATCCCACGGACCCTGGGATCATGACCTGAGCCAAAGGCAGACGCTCAACTGACTGAGCCACCCAGGCGCCCCATGGCTTGTTCATTTTTTAATTCCTTGTTACTCCTAGCTTATATGGCATTTTTATATAAATTAATCATTTCTGAAATGTATATGTTAATAAAAATTTTGTTATAATTTTAGATATACAGAAAAGTTGAAAAAAGTAGAGAAAGTCTCCATGTAAGATTCACCCGGCCAGCTCTCCCTAACATTGACATTTTATGTAACTATGACACATTTATCAAAAGCAAGAAATAGAAATAGAATCTTCTAATCTAAATTACAGACTTTATACTGACTTTACCAGTTTTTCCACGAATGTCCTTTTTCTCTTCTGGGAACCAGTCCAAGCCACCACATTGAATTTAATGAGATATATTTTGAGGAAGCTTGTGTTAACATTATATTTACTGACTGTTATTAATACTGTGAATTTAAAAGCTCATCATTAGCCTTCATGCTTATTTTGGACTGCCTTTTAGATTACCGTATTGCATACTGCTTTTTGATTCAAATTTTTGCTAGCTGTAGAGAATTATTTAAGAGGGAGACCCAAAACCAGTGAAATCAAGGTAATCATCTATAGGATTCCATTCCAGTTTTAATAAGGGGGGAAGAATAAGAATTGTTTGAATGAGAGGGCATTATATTGTCTAAGTTCCTAAAGTAAGACCACAAAATAATCAGTGAGAAAAGAGAAAATTTTAGTTGTTATTGCCAGAAGTTCAATCTGAAAGTAAGACCAACCCACCCTGCAGCAGTTAGTGAGGGTTTTATATGATGAAGGCCCCAAGGAGATGCAAGAAATAAGAATGTTCCGCAGTAGGTGAGGCGCGTGCTCGATTCAGATGAGGTATCATTTCCCAGAAGTGATAGAAGGTCCTAGAAAATAATGTAAATTCTGTATGTTTCCACTTTAGAAGGAAAAATGGGTATGTTGGCCTTAGGTCTGCAACTCTGTCACCTCAGGTTGCAAAAACAACTCTTGGTCACCTGGAGTTTGCAGAAGACCTTAGTCCTTTGTCATATAATATTTTAGCTTTTGATTAAAATATTAAATACCACATGAAGAAGATTTTTCCTGACTGGAGGAAAAATCAAGGTTATTTTCTTTGAAATGGCATTTAATTTAATTTTATTTTTAAATATTTGTTTATTGAAGTAGTCTCTGAACCCAAGGTGGGGCTCGAACTCACGATCCCTAGATCAAGAGTCACATGCTCCTCCAAATGAGCCAGCCAGGTGCCCCTGAAAAGGCCTTTTAGTGTTCAGGTAGTGGCCCCTGCACTTTGTACCCTTGCAGCTCTTTGCACCGTGAAGCACTGTGCACACGCTCGACTTGAGCCCCGGTGGAATCCTGAAGATCCATTGCTTCAAAACCAGAGTTGTTAGGAGCCAGACAGGACTGAAGTACAGTCGAGTCATGGTAGCCTGGTCCCTTGAATGGCCCAAATGTATGAAGCTGCAAGTTAAAATAACCTGACTCCTCCTCACCACCTTCTCTCACACTTATTCTGTGGGCCATTTCTTGACCACTCTTTGAACGGACCTTGTGTGCTGGCCACTCTCAGATCCATAAAATCCTTTAGTCATTTTGTCCCAGGAAGCGTCCCACTCAGTCATAGTGCAGTGGTACACTTCGCTCTTTCTTATCTGAAATCTCCCCTTGCCCTTGGGCTAGAAATGCCTCTCCTGTGAGGGTGGAGGGCCAGGCATATGATCTGCGCTTCTCTTCTGTCTCCCCATAGGATTCTTTTCTTCCTCCTTCTTCCCCTCCTTCCCCTCAGCCTCTGGGGTCCTCAGGGTTGGATTGGACCTGTGCTGAGAGGAAGAAGCGTGGGTGAGGGGGTAGTGATGGTGGAGAAGGTCTTCCTTCCTCCAGGGCACACGTAATTCAGGACTGCACAGCAGAGCTGGGTCTGGTGGCCTATTGTATTCTTTCTCTGATGAGTGGACTTGGCCCGCTGACTGCTTTCAGCGCCTGGACATGCCTCTTTTCCCACCCAGACGCTGTTCATCCCGTGACTTCTGTCCATTCGCCTTGGAATCACCACCTTTTCAGACAGTGTTGTTGGGCAAGATTCCGTAGTCTTGTAGGAGCCCGTATGAGAAGCACATATCTTTTTTTTGTCACTCTGTGCCTTTCACACTTTCTAATACCCAGCTTCAGGAAACAGGTGCCAAGCACTCCGGATGGCTCTCTGGAAGGCTCCTTGCTCACTTGGTGTAAAGGATGCCCTGTCTCTCCTTTTCCATCACAACAGGAGTGGAAGGTGGAGATGCCCAGCACGTGGGGAGCTCTCCAAAGTCTCTCAGTTTTCACTTTCATACCCTTTATATCCTTAGGGTAGAAAGATCTATTGAGTCTCCCCCTTTGCACACACGTAGTCTAGCACCTTGCTTTTGAAACACGGAGGTACCTGGCACTTACTGTCTTTTACCATCAGCTTTAGGAGAAAAGAGAAGCCGAGAACAGGACAAAGTTCCAATTCAATATCTTGTCAGTATCTCTTCCGGTCACTTATTCCTAGAGTAAACGTGTTTTAATGTTCTCTCAAATCTATACTCATTGCGAGTCATTTGTCGAAAGGAATGAATGAATTGGAAGTTAAGAACTGTGTTGTGTATATATATATATATATTTTTAATAGAATCCCTGTCATTTATTTCCCTGGTCGATGTAGGTGTGTTTGCAAAACTTAGTGATTGTAGAATTTTTCCTTGGGAAATAAAAATAGAAACTGCCTCCATTCAAGCATTCTGCCTTCTCTGGTATCACGTAAAGATCACTTCTGAAGTGTGAGCTAAGAGAGCAAAGTTAGGTTCCAACTGCCCTGGATTCTGGGTTTGCGAATTTAATGACCAGGTAATCATCTTTTAAAATCTCAGTGGTTGTAAACTTGGTAAAACAGCTGTACACTTAAGAAACCGCTGAAGAGGACTTTTTCCTCGATATGAATGCTTTGTCCAGGTTACTATTTAGCAATAAGAGGTAATTGCCTCTTATCTTAAGCTTAATCTCAGATCCTACACCAGAGAGTAAGGACTGATTGATTTGACTTAACAACCAAAACAACTGGCTCCTACCCTCTTCCTCTAAATAAAAGAAACTAAAAACCAGACAAACATGAAGTAAGTCACCGTTCTTTTTTTGTCAGTGTTTTATTAAGCATACAGAAAGAGAACATGAAAATCCTTGAGAAACTGTTCTTAGAATGTGTTATATGTAAACACTAAGTTAATTTTGTCCCTGCTTATTAGTGGAAAGTTTATTTTGGCCATTAAGTTATCGAGAATGATTGCTGTCTATCTGTTTCTGCTCCAGGGTCCTTGTACTGGGAATCAGCAGAGCTTGGCCCACAGCAGGCTGTGGGATGCAGTTGTGGGCTTTCTTCATGTATTTGCCCACATGCAGATGAAGCTGTCTCAGGTAAATCCTCCATCCTAAATGACAAGTACTATAATCATTGGCAAATTCAACATGCTTACCTTTGTTTGAATATGATCTTTCTTAGATCACTTCTTCCTACATCTTTTACTCTCTACATATTTCTTAAAGATTTTATTTATTTATTTTAGAGAGAGAGAGAGAGCTGGGTGGGGGAGGAGCAGAGGGAGAAGGAGAGAGAGAGATTCGCAAGCAGACTCCGTGCTGAGCACAGACCCTGAGATCACGACCTCAGCGGAAATCAAGAGTCACATGCTTAACCAACTGAGCCACCCAAGCACCCCTTTTACTCTATTTAAAAAAAAAAACAAAACTTTTAATAAAAGAATTTTATGCAAGCTAAGAATAGGTGGGAGCCATTATTCAAATTTGAGAACAAAAGGTATTAAGGAATTGAATATAATGGAGAAATAACAACATTGTAGTCCTCAAACATTGTACATTTTACCATCCTTCGTAGACCCACTTCTTGGTGATTATTCACTGGAGTTTTCCTCCTCCCTGCAGGTAACTGAAAAAGGCTTTGTAATCTGCAAATCCCTTGCTAAAGAAAGACAGTTTTCTTACTGAGTCATAAATGAGCTGCTGTTCTCAATAGATGACATTCACTCATCAACAGGATATTTAACTTTGCGAAAGTCAAAGAGAAAAAATATGTAAGGATAAGCACGTAAAGAACAGATTTGCAGAAAAGTGTAAATAAGTCTCTTTGATGCGGTGAACTTTGATGATGGGTCCCGAGATCTGACATACCTGTCAGGGCGTGGGTGTTTGCCAGGTGTCAGGGAGAGGAAAGAGTGCTGGATTTAAGGCCAACCATTGCCCGTCCTGCCCGGTGTTTTCATTCACGTGTCCCGACAGTATGCATGCAGCAGCTTCCTTTCACTTGCACTGCCCCCCGCAATATGCAGGAGCATATTGTCAGAGATAAACAAAGCCAGGCATTGGTTAAAGTGGTGAGGACAGGTTTTCATCAGTAATTAACTATCATAGTAGGGCAAAGAGTCCAGCATGAACGGAGCTCCACTTTGATTTGTACAGAGTGAGTGGGTGTTTATTTAAAGGGAGAACGAGGAACCAGGCAGGGGAGGGCAATAGAGACAGGAAGGGAGAGATACGATTACACCAGCTGTGCCCTCAGGCTGACAGTTCTTGAAGTTCAGCTCCTACCCTCACACAGAGACTGGGAGAGGAGACTGGTCCCCAGGTGTCAGCAGGCACAAACAGGACAATTTTTTTTTTTTTTTTAGCAGCCTTGAGTTTTCCCAGGCAGTCCCTCTAAGGTGGGCTAGGATCATCCTAGGGATGCAACCTTAAGCTGGTAGAAACTATATTAGTATTTTGTTCAAGTCTTTATAGCTCAAGATTGAACCCTAGTTGAAAGAGGACTCAGAAGAGCCTGGCTTGAGTTTTGTCAACATCTAGTTATTGGTGACTTCCACCAAATAAGGAAATAACATGATTCTTTCATCTAATCACTAGTGACATTTTAGTGGGTAAAAGAAACCAACATGAACCAAATTGATACACTTACGAGAGAGTTCTCATTCTGGTGTAGTTCCATTGTTTTATTAACATCTGGTGCTACCTAGCAGTTTTTCAGTTTGTAGACCTAGCCAAGGGAACATTATTTAGAAAGAAAGTCTCATCTTTCCAGCCATAGAGAAATTTAGCCTTGTATGTAGCAAAATCTAAATGAGTAAAATGATACCTTGTGTAATTTTTTTAAAAGAAACAAAGCATAGTTTCAAATAAAAAGAAAATTTGGCGATTCATAATGTCATAATGTGGATGTAAGTACATTCTGTGTTTCTAGAAGCTGAATCTAAGCACTGATGTTTGGACACAATGTATCTCTGTAGAAGAATTTTTTTCATGATGAAAATTCAAAAGCAAACACAAACAAACAAAAAACCCAAAAAAAGTTAACCAGGGAAATATCAGGGAGTTTAATAAAATGTAAATAACATATTATACATTGTTCATATAGGTGGTACTTGGGTACATTTTTGTTAGATTAAAATAAATTTATGTCATATCACTGTTATGCCTATTTTTCCTGAATAAGTTAATTTTTACAAAACATATAGCATTTTTGTGTAATAAGTTAGGAAGAAGGAAAAACAAGTTCAGTCTTCAAGTAAAAGAAAGATGTCAGGAACCATGAGAGACTCAGGACTCGGAGAAACAAACTGAGGGTTCTGGAGGGGAGGGGGGAGGGGGATTGGTTAGCCTGGTGATGGGTATTAAGGAGGGCACGTACTGCATGGAGCACTGGGTGTTATACGCAAACAATCATGGATCACTACATCAAAAACTGATGATGTATGGTGACTAAGATAACATAATAAAATAAAATTAAAAAAAAAAAAAGAAGTCAGATGTGTGGAGGCACCTGCGTCTTGTGTGGTGCTGGAGAATCTGAGGCTGCTTTCATCCTTCTGTTAGACTTGTTTATTGTCCTCACACATACTTTAATAAAATGAGATAGAATCGGTAGTAAATACTAACTCTGAAGTATATCTCTTTGCAATAGGCTACATACTTACACTTGGCCTTTCTTTTATTCTATAATCCTGGAAAGTATTTACGATTGGTAAAGCACTACTCTTTGTGAGAATAAGTATGCTGTTCCTGCTACATAATCGTCTCATATTCTCTCAAATGCAATATATGCGCTATATATTATATATATTATGTATTATGTGTTCTATGTTAATATAACATATGTTAATATTTTCAGGATTCCAGTCAAATTGAGCTATTAAAAGAATTAATGGATCTTCAGAAGGACATGGTGGTCATGTTGCTGTCCATGTTAGAAGGTAGTTTTCATTTATATTTTCAAGTTCCCCTTATTCTTTTATTTCAAGGATCAATATGTGCCACAAAGAATAAAATATCAACACTGAGATGTGGCAGATACCTTGGATTTATCACTGGCTTTATTACTGTTTTCTCAAAGTTATCTTTTTTAAAAAGAGGTACCTTGCCTATCTCAGTTTACATAGCGGTGGGATGAAACCAGTAGTAATGTATAGCGACACTTTTCATCTCACAGTGATAGCCTAAGAATACACTCTCCAGACACATAGTACATAAAGATTCTATTTGCTTGTTAGTCTGTTTGTGATCAGAGGGGACGACGGGCATTTGGATAAACTCCAACTGCGTAAACCACGGCCTTGAGCTGGCTGCACTGTGACTCCCAAGGGTTATTCACATCCTTCAGGAGAAAGAGAACAGGGGGCACCACCCCGCAGGACGGCTGCTGGTGGCAATCTCGTGCATGTTCCCGCCACGGGCCTCCCTCCTCTCTCATTCTCTCTCTTTTCTCTTTCCGACTTGTCTTTTTCTGCTACTGCATTCCTCTTCCGTGTCAGGCAGGAAGAAGCGTGGTGGTCAAGAGCTTGGGTTCGAATCCCCGCTTTCCCACTTCCTAGCAGTGTGACCCTTGCCCTGGTTCCTTCTTCATTTCCTCCTCCGTGAAATGGAGGTAATGACAGAGGGAATGTGAGAAGTCCGTGAAATCACGTGAATACGACCAAAGCTGCTAAACAATGTTTGCTATTGTTACCTATCCTTTTTTCTTGATTCCCTCCTAATTTTTCTCTGGTTCTCAGTTGGCCGTGCATTGCATAACTGCACTTCGGTTAATGAAGGCAAGAGGCATGCCTTGTACTAGGACTTCAAAGATGCCACATTGGCAGGAGCGCTTAGGTGGCAGCCACTGTATACCCTCTGAGCACAGGACCCTTTACCATGACGTCAAATCAAATTTTCGTCTAGATAATAGTAACAAGCGGAATAAAAGCAGGAGAAGCGGTGACTGCACCTGTGACAATGTAAATTCAGCCGCTATCATGTATCAGCTCCTCATTTAATCCTCATGCCAGGGTTATGAGTTTGATAGTATCATTACCGCTGTTTTGCAAATGAGGAAACCGAGGCACCGAAAGCGGAGGTTGCTCAGCTAGTAGATGGTGGAACCTGGATTCAAACCCAACAGTGTGGCTCCTGAGCCCGCGCTCATAACCATGGTGTTTACTGCGGCACAAGTGGACTCCAGCAGACCTCACCACTTGTCTTTGTTCTGTTTCTGTCTTTATGTTACACTGCACATTCTGTTCAAGGAACAAAAGCGTTCTATGACTCTATAATTTAGGGTACTATCTAATTTTCTCAGGCTTATCAGTGATCTTCCATTTTCGGACAATAAATATTCTGGACCATGAAGAAATGTAGGGAGAGGGCTTTACATTGTAAACCAGAAAGAGCATATAATTTGCTTTCAGAGGATCTGTTTAAAGTCCTGGCACTCACCCTCACTAATCCTGTCCCAACGGGCACATTGATTTAGCCCACTGATTTGCTCAACTTCACTTTCCTCAATAGTAAAATCAGAATTAATAAAAAGTACGGCCTTACAGAGCTATGAACATTAAATCGGGCATTGTCTACGAGTAGTGATTTTTCAACCCTAAAAAGCTGTCCAAATGCTCATTTTTATTATTAATATGAAACTGGACTTCAGTTTCTAGCTTTAGGATATAAATATTTCCCCCATTTTCTCTATCTGAGAACATGTTGCTTCCTTGATCAATTTGAGGAAAAAAAACAACAACAGCTTTTGTTCAAATACCGTTGTACCCGTTAGTCTAACCACTTTGCAAAATACGATTTTGCATGTGTTTATGTAATCACTCCTTTAAGCTAGAGTTTCCAAATCACTCTCCATCTTTTCCTGAGACTTTGTGCAGTGGAAGATAAACAAGGAGGTATCCTTGATTCAGATGTCATGTAAGAGTTATATTGTCATTTTTTTTCTGTAGGCACTGGTTTTATCAAAAATGTTTCCTTTGAACGCATGCAATTCTTTACCACCAGGTAATGTTGTTAATGGAACCATTGGCAAACAGATGGTCGATATGCTCGTGGAATCTTCCAACAACGTGGAGATGATTCTCAAGTTTTTTGACATGTTCTTAAAACTAAAGGATTTGACTTCTTCTGACACATTTAAGGAATATGATCCTGACGGCAAGGGAGTCATTTCCAAGAGGGACTTCCATAAAGCGATGGAGAGCCATAAGCACTACACGCAGTCAGAAACCGAGTTTCTTCTGTCCTGTGCAGAGACTGATGAAAACGAGACCCTCGACTATGAAGAGTTTGTCAAACGGTTCCACGAGCCCGCGAAGGACATCGGCTTCAACGTTGCCGTTCTCCTGACCAACCTGTCCGAACACATGCCCAACGACACTCGACTGCAGACGTTCCTGGAGTTGGCAGAGAGCGTGCTGAATTACTTCCAGCCCTTTCTGGGCCGCATCGAGATCATGGGAAGTGCCAAACGCATCGAACGGGTTTATTTCGAAATCAGTGAGTCCAGCCGCACCCAGTGGGAGAAACCCCAGGTCAAGGAGTCCAAACGGCAGTTCATCTTTGACGTGGTCAACGAAGGGGGAGAAAAGGAGAAGATGGAGCTTTTCGTCAACTTCTGCGAGGACACCATATTTGAAATGCAACTGGCGGCGCAGATCTCTGAGTCGGATCTGAATGAGAGGTCGGCAAATAAGGACGAAAGTGAGAAGGAGAAGCCCGAAGAGCAGGGGCCCAGAATGGGTTTCTTTTCCATTCTGACGGTCAAGTCGGCCCTGCTGGCTCTCAGGTACAATATCTTGACCCTCATGCGAATGCTCAGCCTGAAGAGCCTGAAGAAACAGATGAAGAAGGTGAAGAAGATGACTGTGAAGGATATGGTCACAGCCGCCTTTTCATCCTATTGGAGTATGTTCGCGAGCCTCCTGCACTTCGTGGCCAGCGTTTCCAGAGGCTTTTTCCGCATCATTTGCAGCCTGCTGCTGGGGGGCAGCCTGGTAGAAGGAGCGAAGAAGATCAGAGTGGCAGAGCTCTTAGCCAACATGCCGGACCCCACTCAGGATGAGGTGAGGGGGGACGGCGAAGAAGGGGACAGGAAACCCATGGAAGCCACCCTGCCCTCGGAAGATCTGACAGACCTGAAGGAACTGACAGAGGAAAGCGACCTTCTTTCAGACATATTTGGCTTGGATCTGAAGAGAGAAGGAGGACAGTACAAACTCATTCCCCATAATCCAAACGCCGGCCTCAGTGACCTCATGAGCAACCCGGTCCCCATCCCCGACGTGCAAGAAAAATTCCAGGTAATGGACTCTAAGTCACCGTAGCCCTCTGGGCTTCAGGTGGGTGTGAAAAATGAACTTTACCCCCATTCTCAGGCTGGTGCCAGAGTGATGTTAAATCCGTGACTTGAGTTTCCAAAGGGAAATGGTAGGCAATGCCGGCCTTGTTAAGATTCTTTACAAATTACTGAAGTATCTTAAACTGTTAAGGTATAAGCTCAAGTCCCCACCCTAACGACAACAGTCAGCTGAGCAATCATCCTAGCCACACATATTTTATGAGTCTTTACCATGTGCCTAACGCCACTGGGTATCATAACGCATTCAGGGAAACAGAAGATGTGACCACTGCTTTCAAATTGCCTTAAAGAGTTTGTTAGAAAGATCTAACTAACACGAAAAAACTGGGAAATTAGTAAGTGCTCAGTAAGTATAGACACTAGACGGTAGAGGTCACAAACATTGAGAAACTGGAGACGTCACTACGGTTTGGAGTAGTTCGGTGAAACCTAAAGGAGTGAGTAACGTTTGAGGACGTGGATGAGGTCAAGAAGGTCCTTCTGAAGTATGAAAAGAAAGTGAGAAGGAGCCTAGCAGGTCTGTACTTACTGCTGGCGTGGGCGGGACGAGCAGAGTGAAGGCCAGTGTGGCAAGAGGGTATCATCTGTAGGTTGTGGTTTGCCTCGTGGTCACAGGGTTCCCTCAACTCACTCAAAGGTGATGTGTAATCCCTGCTTTTCTTTCTTCTCCCCCTTGGCTCATTCAAGGAACAGAAGGCAAAAGAGGAAGAAAAGGAGGAAAAAGAAGAAAACAAATCTGAACCCGAAAAGGCCGAGTATGTGTCGTTTCTGTATACTTCCCTTTGTTTCACTAAGTCTGCGTTACTTCCTCTCCCTCCCTCCTGAGCACATGATGGACAGTCTGGTGCTACAGGACGAAATCCGCCATCCTAGAGGAGAGGCTCTGGCAACCCCTCGGGCTGCCATGCCTTCCCTTCCTCCTTGTTCCATGAGGATTCTGTTTGTGTACGACTCCCGTGATTCCGTATCATGCTGTCCACAAGGGCACTGACTGCTTCAGTTCTGGGCCTAAAACCATGCGGACACTCTTGTCCTCGTCAGCCAGGGAGGAGACAAACGTTCTGAACGCCACTGTGTAGAATTCTTGCACTGACGTCCCATGCATAAAAATGGCCTGGCGAATTTGTTAAAAACAAAGATCCATCCCCGGGTCCCACCGCAGAGATCCCTGATTCAGCAGGTCTGGTGCGGGACCCAGAAATCTTCGGTTTCCCCCTACATTCCCAGTGCTACAGAGCAATAAGAAATAAAGAGCTGAATGTGAAACAATAAAAATGGATCACTTCCTTATAACACTGGCTTTCTGTCAATCACTGAAACCTACATCTTTCCCCCAGTTTAGATAGCTTCATGTGCACACTTTTAAAAAATCAGTGAAGTCAAATCTGAAGTGCCTGTAAGAGCCACTGTGCTCCCTTAGCACTTATATTTTTCTCTTCATTGCTATTTTCTTTGGCTATTCTTTACAGTCGGCACTATTTATAGATCCTTCTCGGTTGTAAAAATGGCCACATTAATGACTGTTTTAGTGAAATGAAACAGCATGACAGTCATTTCAGGGACAGTTCTTTCGTGTTAAAAAAATGTTAGAGCTCAGGGCGCCTGGGTGGCTCAGTTGGTTAAG